TTCTAGCTGTTTGCAAGGATGACCAGAAAGCCATCCAGACACTGTCCTGGCCTCTTGCCACAAGCCCTCCCCTAACCCATGCAACTGTGAGTTCCCCCAGGCATCTCTTTCTATGACCCAGCCCCAGAAGTTCCTAGCATCACTCCTGCCATATTCAATCAGCCAGGAAAGTCACAAGCCTGCCAGACTCAAGGGGAGGGGCACACTTGGCACCTCTCAATGGAAAGAGTGCCAAGGATCTAAGGCTATTTTTTAAAACTGTCACAATCCTCATCTTTTATCTGAACCATGGCATTATGCTTCACCTACCACTCCTCAGTTACTACTCTTCATTACTCCTTTATTTGTCTGGCTTCTCCTCTAGACTGTGATCAACTAAAACCTCACTCAGATCATGTCAGTCCTCTGCCCAAAACCCTTAAAGGACTCCCATTTCACTCACAGTAAAAATCTAGGTTAAATGGCAGCCAGCAAGCCCCACACAACTTGGCCCCCACTCATCTCTCTGCCTGTTTCTATTCCCACTCCCCACTTCACTCCCCCACACCAGCCACACCAGCCTCTGTGCTGTTCCTTCCACCTTGGAGCTCTCTTCCTGCTATGACCACATGACTTAGTCTCTCATCTCCCTCCAGCATCTGCTCAGATGTCACCTTGTCAGAGAAGGGTTCACTGTGTAAAACAGTAACTCCCTTCCCACACACATCTGGCACCATGGTTCTCCTAGCTCCCCCTCCTCTGCTGTTTATAAATTATACACACGCACACAAGCCTCTTGCAGGACAACTTATAGAGTTCCTCTCACCAGGTGGTGGATTCTCTTTCCTTACCTACCTTGTGACCAGCCTTACGACTCACTTTGCCAACAGAATGAGATGAGCTAGTCAACTGAAGTGATGCATGCCGCTTAGGACTATAGGCCTCAGGAGGATTGCAGCTCCCATTTCCTCTGCAGGAATCATGTGAACAAGCCCAGGCTAGCCTGCTGGGTGACAAGACTACTAGGCTAGCTGCCTCCAGTGCCCTGGTGAACAACCGGCTGACCACCAGACATGTGAGTGAGGCCATCTTCACATGAGCGAGCTCCACCAAGATCAACTGCGTCAGACCCAGATGGGCAAATCACCCAGCTGATCTGCAGTCTTATTGTTTTAAGCTATTGAGTTTGGGGATGAAGTTTGTGACACAGGTTTTTGTGGCAACAGATAACTGATACAAGCACTTAGCCTAATGCATACATGAAATATGTGCTTAATAAGTATTTGCAGTGCAAATGAATCAACAAATGAAAAAAGGAAAATGTTTGACTTATTGGTCAGTATTACTTGAACACCAAGCACCATTAAATGAATGAGTGAAGGGTGACAGATCCTTTTATGAAGCAGAGCAACCAAACAAGACCCTTGTCTTTCAAGGGCTTAAAAGAAAAGCTTCCTGGGGCACAGGGAGGGAGGGAGGATAGTAAGTAGCATTTAGTTTGTAAAGGAGCTACTGCTCCAGCCTGTCTTGACCAGGATCTTTGGGTTGACTGTGGTCTGGGCAGTGGCTCAGTGTGAGAATACAAGGAAATCCTGCTAGAGGAGAGTCTGTGCAATAGTAGGAGAGAGGACCCAGCCCAGACATAAGGCTCTGGGCCTGAATCTCAGGTCAGCTTTATGCAGCTTCCAGAACCCTCTGCCCACACAGCTGTAGGCCACAAGGTTGCCTTTCTCAAAATGTATTTACCATCTGCCTCCAGTTTTCTGAAAAGCTAATGAAAATGCAGAATCCTGGGCCTGACTCCAGTACTACTGGGTGGAAATTTCCAGAGGTAGAGGCCAAGCACCTCTATTTCAAGAAGTTCCCCCACTGTATTAATAAGGTCCCTCAGACACATAACAGGAAGGGGACCCTGTGCCAACAGTTTGGAATATACGGATTCTGGAACAGACAGGAGAATAGTAGGTATAGTGGAAATGTATAGCTTTCTGATCCATTTTCACCACCATCTTGGAACATAAGTTCTCATACCCATTTCACAAAAGGAACACTAAGGCTCAGAGAGGGAAGTAAGCATCCCAGGCTGACTTCAACTCCAGCACTTTTTGCTTCCACCCCAGTGGAATCCACTCAACTAAATAGTTCATTTTTTTATCTTCACAGCCTTTAAAAGTCATTTTAGGCTCAACAGCTCCTTGCTCAGGCGGTGAAAATCACATGCTGAAATGGAATGAAAGCAAAAAACAGATAAGTGACCAGTCCGAGATCCCCCAGTGAATCAGTGGAAGAGCCAGTATATACATTTTCACACCATATTTAAGCAATTGTCAATTAAACATCTCTTCCATGGCCAAGCAAAATGTTGTTTTCCAGTTTGGAGTTTTGTTTGTATGCATATATTTTAAATAAATTTGATAATGAAGCCACAAATGTTCCCAGCACACTTGGATGTATTTAAATTACAGGCTGCTGATCAAACAGAGAAAATTCACCAACATGTATATAAATGATGTCTTTAGTTTGTTCAGAGCCTTTCCACAGCACTCAAATGGATCTGTCAGCTTGATGGCCAATTCCTAGGCTGCCGAGAATGACGGGAGGTGGGGTGGGAGGTTGGCGATGAGACTAGGAAACGAAATCCCATGGTGAAAGATTGTGGGTCTTTTCTTTTATGAAAACATTTCATCTGCACCTGTAATTCATCTCAACAAGCCAGTTCTGAGAACACAAACAAGCTGGCAAAAGACGTGTTTGTCTCTGCCTAGCTGGCAGCACTCCCTACTCACTAAGGGCCAGAGCCCTGTTCCGATCACTGTGGAAGAGAATCAGGGGGTCTGACATTTGAATTTCCTTTGGCCCTCACTGTGCCAGTCTAGGCTCCTAAAGGCTGAGTGCCCATCCTACTATAGTCTCTGCTCATCCACAGTCAAATAAAAAATAAAACTACACTTAGGAGAAATTTTTATTTATTAGGATGATTACCAGGGAAAGGAACTACTGTAGTTAAATGCTTTGACTCTAAGTCTGCAAGTGTCAAGGGTTAGGCAAAAGGATTTTTTTATTATTATATGCAGGAGAAAGCAAGGTTAGAAAGAATTGGAACATGGAATGAAAGGGTGGCATGATAGGACAGTTGGTTAGAGAATGCTTTTCCTGAGGCCAGCCAGTTCTCAGGAGGATCTGTCTGCTGACTCAAGCTGAGGGTGGGCCAAAGTTCAGGGGCTTGGAAGGACAGAATTTAACTAAAGTTTGGTGAACAACCATTTTGCTCCTATTTGTCAATAGAGACAAGCAGTTCACCTAATCACTTATGAGGCAAAGAATGGGAATTTGGAAGGTCTGTGTCTGGCCCTGTCATAGGTAAACAAGGCAGGTATCTATGTGTCTTCCCTAAATCATACAGGGAAGGATGGTTGTTTGCAGCAAGCTGTTTTCTGTAACACGAAAGGGTGAAGGAAATTTGTTTAACCTTCGCTGTTTCCCAGGAGCACAGGACTCGGGTAAAATTCAACCTTGTCACCACTCAACAGGGGATGACAATTATTATAATAGTTATTTATAATTTTAATATTTTTAAAGTACTTTGAAAGTGCCAGATGTGTACTAAATGCTCAAAAAATATTTGTCAATCTAACTTACATGTGAGATCCTTGAGGGCAGGGGTTGAGTTTAGCGTGCTTTCTTTGGTGTTATTACCTAGAATCCACTGATGTGCTGAATTGGCCTTGAGCAAGTCTCAGCCTCCTCATCTGTAAAATAAGACATAATAATATCCACCTCACAGGGTTGTTGAGAGAATTAAATACTGAGGAGTCTAAGGGCTCCAGACAATGCTTGACACATGCCCTGTGACCTGTGACAAAGATTCTCTCCTTGACCAAACTCTAGTCAGGATCTCCTAAGCCCTCTTTCTGCCTAAACCTTGCCCAGGCTCTGCCCTTGGCCTGCTTAGCCCAGTTTTAGCAAGAATCCTTCTGAGCCAATTAAGCGGAAAAAAAAAAAATTCCCCATCGTTGATATCCTACCAAATTCCTCATCCCTCACCCTTGATTATCTTACCACCCCAGCCTGCCTTCCTCAAAAATTAAGTCGGCTTAGAATTCCCCTTGCTCCCACGTTTTCTCTTGATAATTTTCCATTCCCAGCCCACTGGTCCTTGTATTCAGAGGTTAACACCACCTGTCTCTCCCATCACAACCTCCATTGCAGTAGACCCCTGAAGAGTCTGCCTTACCGTCTTCAGCAAGTGTTATGAATAATTTTTTCTTTAACACCAGTAAATGAATTCCCTCCTCTTTCCTACTTGGGACGCCAAACCCAGTATGAGCAGAACTGCCCCTGTGGCCTCTGTTCATTGTTTCAAAAGGCCTGCGGCCTTGGTGGCCAAAACTCCCAGAGGCGCCCACACCACTTAACATCTGGCAGGAGTGAGGCCTCTGGGCTTTGCATTAAAACCCTGGTCCTTTTAACTTCCTCAGGCCACGGATGCTGCACTTGGGGGCTCCAACTTAGGATCTATGCCTTCCCCAAAACACACATATTTGGCCACTTTAGTTCACTGAGCCCCGGTTTACCTCTCTGTAAAAGAGGAGGACTAATAACCCGGGATGGATTAGACAAAACGGTGGATGAGCAGCTGCCTTGTACACGCAGTACCGTTGCAGAGCAAATCGCCGGCGCTACCACGTGGAGGGGGAAGCCGGGGAGGAGGGGGTAAGCTCGGCCCTCCCGCGGCGCCTCCTCCTCCCGCCTTTCAAATGCTATGGCTGGACTGGGCCGCGGATCGATCACTCGGCGCTCCGCTAGGCACTCTGTTGATCAGACGAGCGCTGAGTGACCGATCATCCCCGCGCAAACGTGGCTACCAGGAAACGGAGAGAGCCGTAGTGTTGGGACCGACAGGAACAAGTCGTCGCCACCCGCGAGCAACTTGACACCGTCCAGTCGAGACAGGTTAGTTTGAGCTGCTTCAGAGGGTAGGTACCTCCGGCTCCTGAGAGGCGGAGAGGAGAACTGCACAGCCTTTGTGTTAAAAGCGAACGCGAGACAGGACCGCCTCACGCGTGCTCCTCGGCAAGCAAAGCACAGCGGCGGTGCTTCAAAGAAGCAAAACTTGGGGTCGGAGGAGCGAGGGAGCGAGAGGAGAGCCAGGCATGCGCTCTTGGGCACTCCGACTCTCCAGCGCTGCGGCGGGTAGCATGAGAGCCCCGCGCACGCGTACTGCTCTTCTACGCCCCTAATTTCCTTTGTGCCTGCGCAGTTCTTGCTGCAGCCTCTGCGCGACCGCAGCGCTTGATTCCGCTTTGATTGCGCCTGCAGGTCGCTGCTGGGTGCAGTTCTTGGGCCCGTCGGCTTTGTCGTTGGCCAGGAGCTAAGGCCGACTGGAAACCCTTGAGCCATCAGAACCCAAATATGGACCGCGAGAAATGAAGCCCCAGCGGAGGCGCCGAACGGGAAGGGTGTGAGGGCTCGGGTCGGGTACGGGGAGTCCCCCAGGCCCCCACGTTTTCAGGACCCGGAGGGGCCTGTGCGTTGGCTGCCTGAAAGAAAGGGTTTTCTAACTCGGTAGGAGTTAGCTCTGAGCTTCGGTATCTCGTTGTAACCCTCAGGACCCAGCAAAGGTAAGCCAGCGTGCTCAGCGGGTTATGGGAAGCCCAAGGTCAGGAAGCAGGTGTTTGGTCCTTGCCCGCAACCCGAACCCGAGTGCCGGTGAATAAAGGTATCAGGGAACTTTTCCAAACATCTCTGGAAAGTTTCACAGAGCTCTTCTAGAAAGCTCTTGTTTTTGTGGAATACTGCCACAATAAAATTAACGAAGTTGCAAAACTAACAGGGAAGCCTGTTTCCAGAAAGCCAGATTCAGACTGTTTATCCTGGAAGGCACTGTGGAGAGCTGCTCATGACCAGCGTGCTGCTGTCAGAATGGATGTTTCAGGAGGTCAGCCAGAGACCTCTGTGGGGCTCTCTGGATGGACATTGCATTAGACCAACCTGAGACCCTCTGACAATGGTGGTGAAATTCCTGCTAGCAGAAATGAAAGTTCCAAACAATGAAAAACAACGTTGGAGAAACTGACAAGAATAAAAAATTTTACAATATTAAATATACTCAACCAAGCAAAAAGGAAAAAAAAACTATATACCCCCACGGTTTGTTTGTTAAATTCTATAGTTAATCTGCCTTGTCCCGACCACCAGAAGGCTGTTTATGTAATCTGCCTGTGCCCTTCTGTGTGGAACTCTGGGAGGCCAATTTAAAGACCAGACTATAGTACTACTCTGAAAGGTAGTTTAACACAGTTTATTCTTGACTCCCTCTGGAAGGCTGTTTGTTTAATACAGCCTTTTCTAAAAGGCGGTTTAGTGAAGAACTTTTGGAAGCCAACCAATAACACCAAGACACAAAGCTATGACTGATGCCTTCTCTGAAAAAAACCACTTGATAGTTTTTATCAAACTAGTACATGAGAATCCTGGAAGACTGATTTGTAAAGCCAGGACATGAGGCTATTTAGAAAAGCAGTTTCACATACCCTGTACTTGACCTTTACTGGATAACCAAATCAAATGGTTGGTGTGTGAAAACTGCTTACAGCACATGAGGCCAGCTTTTCTGGAATATTGTTTCAAACAGCCAACAAGGTGTTTCATCCTGCCAGCAAAGGCCCTTTCTCCTATATGGCCATTTCACATAGCTAACAGGAACAAATGAGCTGCTCCCTGAAGAGTTGGTTGACACAACACACAGAACATTTTGCTGGCACTATAAAGAAACCATGGAAGATTGGCATGTTAAACTAGGACAAAGTCTGGACTTTAACTGGCCCTCAGGCAGAGGCCCAACATGTAAGGAAATCCCTTTTTGAAACAGGTCATAAGGTCACAATGGAAGACTATTTCATATAGTAGGATGTGGCTTCTCCCCCGTCTTGCCAGTGGGTCTCAATCCCGAGCAAGTTTACTGCAGATTCAGTGAAACCAAGGAATGAGAATGGAATGTTCTTGGGTAAAAGGGTTTATTACCTGTCTTGTTTTCCCGGCGATAGGTCAAGCACTAGAATTACATCTGCATCCAACAGTCTTCAGGTCTATAATCCTCCTGCATCTCTGCCTCCACCCAGAGCACTGGACAGAGCTCTTTATGTAGTGATTTAGTCAATAATAGCTTATTGCCTATGGGTGTGGAAGCAGTAGCCTAGCAGTAGGCCAGTTACATCATCTAGTAGTTTAGGTTCAGGTGAGGATCCTGGCCATAGCCACCTCAACTTTCCCCACATCCCCCAAAGGCTGATTGATAAGGCAACTGTTTAAAAGGCCAACTCATGAATGGTTCTGGGAAGCCTTTGGAATGAGGCCATAAGATTATTCAGCTGGATAATGGCTAGCATGCCTCCTTACCAAGGAAAATCTCTTCATGCTGCCAATATAAGGCCCTCTAGGAGGCTAATATTTTAAGGTCAGTCATGTATCCCTTTGAGAGGTCATTTCAAGTAGCTAGTCTAGAGTTGATCTGAAAAACCGTTTTTAAAATGAACTCACAGCTATCCTGAAGCTCCTGCCTTTAGAAGACTATGTGATACAGTGTTAACAAGTATCTCTGAGGCCTTTTTATAAGGCCATTGACTGAGGAACCCTGAAAGAAAAATAAATTGTCAAGGCTATTTTATGTGGCCAAGAGGAGACTGCATTATACAGTCAACTGGAGGCCCTCTTTCCCAGAAGGCTGGTTCATGTTGCCGTCTACATGAGGCAATCTGCAAGGCCAAGTTGCAAAACAGCGCATGAGGCCACCTTTGGAGGCTGGCTTTGTAAGGCCTTTGGGAGTCATGCGAGGGGTTATTTTGAAGAGGCCAGTTTACAAAGTCCATAGTCTCCATTCCAGGAAGCTAGTTTATAGCCTGTTTAAAACCCTCTGGAAAGCTGTTTTATAAGTCCACCAAGAGACCAGTTTATAAAGCTGGTACATAAAGCCCCAGTGGAAGCCATTTTTATAGTAAAGCAAGTGGTCTTCTGGGTGGCCTTCTTACAGACCTTCATGAGAAGCTGGTATGCAAGGCCTCTGAGGTCTTGGGTTGCTCAAGATGAAACTTCTTGGGTTTGCTTTATAAGATATGTGAGACACTTGAGGGCATGAGCTAGAAGCCACTTAGGGAGGCCTGGTGGTGGGTACACATGCTACTTTGTGTGTGGTTAGTGAGTGAGAAGGTCAGTGTAGAGAAAATGGAAGTTCCATGGCCAGGCTTCTCACCTGGCCCCGGTCTGCTTGCCCACTGCATATGTGCAGTGCTCACAGGCACAGGCTTACACTGTGGGCAATAAGTTGTTTTTGACTCTACATAAAAGAGTTCCACATAGTGTTTGGGGCTGAGAGGCCTGGAGGCTTGTTGCATACAGACTTGCCCTGAGGACTGGATTCTAGTGCTGGCCTGCCTCTATGAGAATAAAGCTGAGTATAATCCTCTCACCCCCACTGTTCATTGTCATATTTTGGTCTTGGCCGAATCCAGAGTGAACTTTCCCAGGACCAAAACCCTCAGGTGAAGCAGTTGGACTGTGAGGCTCTCCAAGAAGACTATTGGTGAGGCCAACACAAGACATTTACTAATCTTCTAAGAGGCTAATGATAGAATCCCTACTGGCGGACTAACGCCAGGCCACTCAGGCTCTCTGAGTCCCATCATTCACTGAGCCCACTGAGAAGCTTACCCTCTCTGAACTGAGGACTGACCTAGGATACAAAATCCAAAAACTGATGCAGTCCTCACTCCTGAAGCCTAAGTGTGTTCTGGGTAGACCCTTACTGTGTAGTTTGGGGCAAATTACTTAATCTCTACAATCTTTATTAATCTGTAAAACCTCTCATCATAGGACTGTGAGGGATATGTTAAGGTACATAAAATATGGCATGTAGGAAAGGGCACTAAGGGTCAGAATTTAAGTCCTGTTTCTGCATAAATGGTTGACCATAGGACTTAAGCAACTCACTTAATCTTTTCTGGACTTTGGCTTCTTTATCAGCAAAATAGAGTGGGATTGTAGGGAAAATCACCACATACATGCCTATCCACCACAGTATTGTGAGAAATAAATAAAGGGTGAGGCCTGGCTGGGAACCATGATACAGACTACAGAGCAGAGAACAACAATAACTACTGCTGTCACTTCAGGATACGCCCAGAAAGAGCACTTCAGAAATAATGGTGATGGATGTCTCAACAGGGCTGCATTTATTCCTGGGAGCGCTAGGGGAGAATCCATTTGTTTGCCTTTTCCAGCTTCTAGAGGCTGCCCACATTCCTTGGCTCCCTTCCTCCTCCAAAGCCAGCAGTACTGCATTTCTCTGACCATTCTTCTGTAAACACAACTCGCTCTGATTCTGACTTCAGCCAGTAACGATGCTTTCAAGGACCCATGTATTAGGTCAGGCCCACCCAGATACTCCGGGATAATCTTTCCATCTCAAGGTCCTCACTCTTCATCACATCTGCAAAGTCCTTTTTGCTGTGTTAAGTAACATTCACAGATTAGAACGTGTGTCTTTGGAAACCATCATTCTGCCAACCACTCAAGTCATCGGTCCTGCCCGTACTCGAAGGGATTAGGTGAGGGTGTAACAGGAAGCAGGGAACACTGGCTGTCCAGTTCACCATAGGGAACTGTGGCTTCCATCCCCTTGCAGGAAGTGAGGCATCTGATGTGGCTTTGCCAAGGCAGGTCTTCATTCGTGCCTTCACCATCTACCAGTGGAACTTGAGTGTCAATTACTGTATTAGGTACTATTAGCCACAGAAACCAACTCCGGCTGAATAAATAAAAAGAAATTTCTAGGAAGGCCACCGGGACCTGCAGAATCAGTGGAAAGCTGGAGAAATGGACTTGCAAAAGAACAAGCACCAAAGTGACTCTGTAACCTAGGATTGGGGACAATAATTGCAGGACCTGAGCAAGAACAGTCTGGTCCAGAAACTGCCAGTAGGTCAGAATGAAGTGTTAACTATCTCCAGGTCAGATGATCTACTTAAAGTTCAAATTCAAGGGAGGCAACTTAGGCTTGTCTGGCTTGGGTCACGTACGCACCCACAGTATTTCACCAGACTGATCTCAGTGGTAAGACAGAATTCCTTACAAGGAAGTGGAGGTATGTTAAGAAAGAGAAAAGGATTCTGAGCCACTGGAACTCAAATACCTTCTACACACTCTGCGCCTGTTTCTGTAACAACAGAAGTTACTATATTAGGGCAAGCTGACTTGTGCTGAGCATCATCAACACATTAGTGGCTAAACAATACAAGTTTATTTTTTGCTCATGAAGCATTCCAGCTTGGATATTCCTGATTGGGTGGCTGTCTTGTGGCTCTGCAATCCACTAGAGCCTCAAGAGTCCCTCACTTCCTACCAGCAGATAAGGAAATGGTGGAGAATTATACAGGAGGTGTTTATGGGCTAGGCCTGTAAGTGACAATCATTTCCATTCTTATTCACATTAGCTAGAACTCAGTGGCATGACATCTAATTGCAAGCAAGACCAAGAAATATAGTCTTTGTGCACAGGAAGAGGATGAAATAGGTTTTGGTGAGCTTAAAGCAGTAGTTTGTTTTGCAAATAGTTTTATAGGAACTCAGTCATGCTCATTTGTTTATATACTCCATAAGGCTGCCTTCACCCTATAATGGCAGTGACTGTGTGGTCTGCAAAGCCTTATTTACTATCTGGCCCTTTGTCGAAAAAGTATATTGACCCCTAGCAGAGAACAGTCTCTAACAAGTATAATGGCCCCTATTTCCTATCAAATGAGGTTAGTGTATATAACAACTGTTGCTGTACTACCTAACATTGTAGCACAAATGAGAAGGTGTAATTGTGAGCAATAGAACCTATTCACAAATGAGTACTTAGGCCTAAGAATTAGCCTGCCATCCATATTTAATGCCCAGGCTAATGGCACCAAAGGCACCATGTTTTTCCTTTCTGTATAGGTTTTATATGTTTCTAGTTTTCTTCTTGAGAAGTTATGGTCTCACTCTTCAGTAGCCTTAATTGAGTGCCTGTCATGAGCCAGACTCTGCTTATAGGTGATGTGAGTCCTTGCCCTGGAGCAGTTCACAAGCTAGTATTGGAGGACAGACATGTAAGCAGGTATTTGTAATACTTGTGACAAGTGATATAAAAGAAGCTCAAGGGCTGTCTGAATACAAGTGCTGTCAGACAGTCTTGGCAGGCTTCACCTAGGGGATCATTTAAAGTGGACCTTAAAGGTTGGATAGAAGTTTGCCAGAGAGGAAGGGTGTTAGAGGCATTCTAGATATGTCAATACATGTCCCTTTTCAAACAAATATTTATCTGATACCCACCACATGCGTGGGATTGTGCCGGGCCCTGGAGATAAAGTGATGACCCCACAAATCTGGGGGCCCTGCCATCATAGAGCTTATGCCTAGCAGAGATGACCATTGTTGAAGAATCATCACAGGTGAGGTATGTGTTATGAAGGACACGTATGGGAAGCTTTGGGAACCTATAGGGGACCAAGTCTGGGCATGCTCTCATTTTTTAGGAAAATACTTAATATATTTTAAATCTCGGTGGTTGACATTTTGGCCACTGGATGTCATCACAGATCTAACATTTTTTTCCCCCAGTTCGATTTTACTGTAGATAAATGTTGGTGTAAAATATATTGTGTGGCAGTAACTTTGATTTCTTCTCCCACAGGCACTTACCAGACTGAGCTGGCAGTGGGCCTGATGGCAGAAGACATCAACCGAGACCCCCTGGCAGGGAGAGGCACTCTCTGGGAGGCTCTCTGGGCACTCCTGCCCCCCAGTAAAGATGACCTGACGCTGGGGCTCAGTGAGAGAGTGGAGAGGAGCATGGTGATGCTCCTGCAGCGAGCCTCCGACCTCTTGTACGGGGGCAGAGGGCATGAGTGTCTGCAGACCAGTGAGGTGATCCTCGACTACTCCTGGGAGAAACTCAACACAGGGGCATGGCAGGATGTGGACAAAGACTGGCGTCGGGTTTATGCCTTCGGCTGCCTTCTGAAAGCCGTGTGTCTGTGTGAGGCCTCCAGCAACAGGACCGCTGTGGCCGCAGCCCTGAAAGTCTGCGACATGGGCCTGCTGATGGGGGCCGCCATCCTTGGGGACATCCTCATTAAAGTCGCTGCCGTCTTCCAGAGGCACCTTCTTTCTGGAAAAAGGCCTGCCCAAGGCCCAACCCAGGAGCAGCCCAACATAAAGGTGTGTGGGCGGGGTTGTTACTGACCACACCTAACATAATCCAAATGCCCTGTTCCTAGAGTAGCAAGAGCTCTCCCCTGGGGTGAGGCTTCATGGCACACTGACTGCTCAGGCTGAAAATAGTATCTCCACCGATTTGGAAATGGAAGAGCGTGGTCTATTTTCTCAAGTGGTTTTTTTTTTCCCCCAGTTTTTGTAAAAGCAGTGCCCTTTCTGGCGAGGTTAGGGGAAAGCTCTGATTCCTCGAGAAGCAGCTCACTGGGATGGTGTGGGTGAGAGCCGTGGCCCAGCTCCTCCAGCTTGTTCTGGTCAGCTGGCTGAAGAATCACTCCCCATTCGGCTGCCTCTGTGCCTGTGCTGCTGAGTTTGGGCAAGAATCTGCAACTGGCTACCTTCAGTTCACATGTGTGGTCATTCCTGTCCTTTAGACCCTTGTGTTATTACTGGAATCACAGTGCCTGTCCCAAAAATACCACAGACACCGAGATGGTCACTGAGAAGACTTCCGAGCCCAGTGCTGACCTGCGGCCCTCACCGACAGTAGCTCTGGACAAGTCTGTTCACAAGGAGGAAGTAGATCTATCAAACTAGCATATGGGAAAAAGTTCAGCCTCACCTCTGCTTAAAAAAAACAAAACGCAAAAACAGGCACCCATTTTTGGCTGTGCAGTTACCACTCCAGGTTTTATGCAATGCCCAGCATTGCCAAGGGTGCCATGGGGCTAAGGACATGGTATGTTGATTGACCCCTCAGAGGGCAGGGCACACATGCAGTTCAAGGGACAAATACCTGTCCCTTTTGACCCAGGGGTTGCACTGCCCTTTCCCACCCCAAGTCTGTCCCAAGGAATACAGAGGTGGCTTCATGCCAAGGCAGTGCTTATGCTGTGGGTGGTGTTGGGCAGTGTAGTGCTAAAGGGGAGACCTCGGGTACTGGTGTCAGCCTGCCTGGGCTCAGATTCCCACGCCATCGCCCACTGCTGTGAGGCGGACAAGTGCCCCCTCCGTCCCCCTTACTTGCCTATAAGGGGTTTGCTCTACGGCCTTACTGAGTACCAGCCATGGTCCAGATGTGCTGGATGCTGAGGTGATGGTACAGAAGGGCCTGGCCCTGTCCTCTGGAATTCACATCCCAGTGAGGCTGTAAAACGGTGTCTTCTCTCTGGTGGTGAGCAAAGTAGGGGAGGTAACTTCATGTAGGGCAGTCAGGGAGGGCCTCTGATGAGGAAATGTGTGAAAGTGAAAACTCCCATAGAGGCTGTGACAACAAAAAGGCAAGCACAGGCTCTGGCGGGGAATGTTAGCCACCAGTGGGGAGAGCTGGGCTGGGGTCCAGCAGTGAGGAGCAGAGGGAGCTGACACTCCTCATATGAGGTTTGTCCCCAGTGGTTTAACAGCTTAGAAAACAGGCCCAGAGCTAGTGACTTGTGCCGGTGCCCCAGCTGGGAGGTGGTTGAGTATGTGATGGGACATCGCAGGGCTCAGTGACAACATGGAGACTGCTTTAGGTGAACTATTGGGAAGAAGAGGCAGAGTTGTTTATTCATCATGAATATTGCTGCCAGTGAATGAGAGATGTGCACATGTGAACAGAGGAGAGAGAACACCCAGGAATGAAAAGGGCACTTTTCTGTTAGATGGTCACGTTTGGGATGGCAGGTTTTCCTGGATTGCAAAATTTCTGCAAAAGCAATATATAACTTTCATAGTGGAACAAACATTGTAAATGAACTGATAAAGAGAAAAACATCCTGATACATGAAGTCCCTAGTAGTAGCAGCAGTGATAATGATGATTAATGTTAACTCTTATCACTGTAGTTACTGACACCTAAGCTGTCCTACCATTGATGCAAATTCACAGTAAAATGCCACAAATGTTTACTTTCTGCAGCTGTTTTCTTTTGTTTTGATTTTAAACAGAAAGCAAGGAATGACCATGTTTCGATTCCAGATGTGAAGTCAGAAGGAACAGTCCCCCGGCTCTACTGTCCATCCCTCCAGTATTTCAGGAAGCATTTTTTGGTTCCCCAGAGGCCTGTGATCTTGGAAGGCGTAGCTGACCATTGGCCCTGCATGAAGAAGTGGAGGTGGGTCACTGCTGAGGGCAGTGAGGTTCCTCTTCTGTGTCAGCATCCCCACAGACTCCCTCAGTTATTCCTCCCATCATCCTCAAGTAACTAGAGCCTCACAGACACTTCACTAGCAGCCCCTGGGCTGGACTGCAAGGGGTTAAACAAGAAAAGCACCATGCTCTGGATTGATGTCTGAGCTTGTAAGCCCCTTACCTTCTCCAGTTTACCTGCCCTAAGCAGTTTTTTAGTGAGTGCTGAAGTGGCTCCAGTGTTAAGTCTGTTAGGAAGTTTTGTAAGATCTCAGGAATTCGTGGACCTTCTCAGGGGCCCTTTAGGCCTAAGAGTAGAAATAAGACCCCAGGAGACAGCTGCTCACCTCAGTGGGCTCCGGGTCTCTTGTGTTCATTCCCTCCCTTGTCTGCTGGTCCATCCTCAGAGGTGGGGTGGAGAAATCAGCTCAGGCAAGTGGCTAGTGGCTGTAATGCCACAGCTGTGGAAGTGAGGGGTTGTCTGTAGGGAAGATTGATCCATCAGCTTGTCTTTGTGGAGGAAGCAGTTCCCACTGACACTTGTGTGAAGAGGACTCTGCTTGCCAGAGCCTTCATCCCACAGACATTCATGTGTTTTACTGCATACCAGGTGCCAAGACAGGCACCAGCCCTGGTTTCTCTTCCTTCATCCTCCCTGGTTCCATGAGACAGGCTCTCTCATAACCCCCATTTTACAAGTGGGGCACAAGGGTGCAGAGAGGTTAAGTAACTTGCCAGAGGACCTCTGCTCTGTACCCAGGGAGTCCGTGCCAGGTCACCGGAGTTCAGAACCCCAGCACTCCACCATCCCTGCACCCAGAGGTTTCTCCACTTAGTGACAAGGTGAGCAAAGAGAAGATAGAAGGCCCTCGGCAAAGGGGAATGGAGCCTCCCAGCAGGATGGTCGGCAAACCAGCTCCAGGGCATCTGTCTGTGAAGCCGCAGGGCTGTGCAGGCCGGCAGCCTGCCCTTGTGCCTGACTGCCCTCCACAGGGAAGCGGGAGTGGGTGGTCCCTGCCTCATGAGGTTCTGTGGAGACAACAGGAGGCCCATGTAAAGCACATTAAACAGAGTGCCCAGCAAGTCTCAGCAAAAATGGCGATAATGACGAGACATTTTCCTAATAGTTTGGAGTATATCCAAGAAATTGCTGGCTGCCGAACTGTCCCAGTGGAAGTGGGCTCCAGGTACACTGATGAGGAATGGTCCCAGACCCTCATGACCGTCAGTGAGTTCATCAGCAGATACATCGTGAATGAGGTAGGTCATTTTGACTGCTTTCCCTGAATACTCACAAGGGAGAGAACGCATTACATTTGGGCAGATAACCTCCCTGTGCTGCAATGTGTTTACCAGCCTCTGGTCAGTGACCTGGCCAGAGTAAAGAGCGCAGGCTGGTGGGCAGGCAGAACTTGAAGTACTCATTTTAGGTTCCCCTCTCCCCCCACTTTGTTTTCAGTACAATTCAGTAATTTTTTAGTGGATTCAGAAGATTGTGTGGCCATCACTGCTAATTCCAGAACATTCTCATCACCCCAAGAAACCCCGAATTCACTAGAAGCCACTCCCAGTACTCCCCTAGACCCCAGCACCAATCAACCTCTAATCTGCATTCTCTGTCTGTGGATTTGCCAGTTCTGGACATTTCATGTAAATGAAATCATACAATACGTGCCCCTCTATGTCTGGCTTCTTTGACTTAGCACGATGTTTTCAACGTGCATCCATGCTGTGGCACGTTATCAGTACCAAACTCCATTCCTTGTATGGCAAAATGATAGTCTGTGGTGTGGAGATGCCACATTTTTTATCCACCAGTTGATGGCCATTTGAGTTGTATCCACTTCTTCGCTGGTATGAAAAATACTACTGTGGACATTCATATATAAATTTTTGTGTAAATAAGTTTTTATTTCTCTTAGGTATATACTATAGTAAATATAAATATATATATCAGGGATGGAATTGCTGGGTCATATGGTAGCTCTGTGCTGAACCTTTTAAGGACCTGCCAGAATGTTTCCAAAGCAGCCACACTATTTTATCAATTCAGAAACATAACAGTGAGGCAGTGGTGGCTTCCTCTTCCACAGACCTGGCAGAAAATGTAGATTGTCTGCCTTAGAATGCTTGAACCTTTGCTGTGGGCTGAGAACAAGGGAAGCCTGAGCCTGTAACTGGGTACAGTTCCCCTTAAAGCAAGGGGATGTCCCCCCAGCATCTGTGGTCCCCAGCACCTTTCCTAGCCCAGAAACCAGTCCCTTCACAAGGTGTGAGAATTTAGCATCATTTATTCTCACACCGTCCCAAGACCCCACACCCCTAGGCAGCAACAGGCCCCGCTGTACAGTTCTGATTGGATTCAATCACAGATTACTGCAGTCAGAGGGCCAGGTTGGTGACCATGCAGGCAGACGGTGTTTTCCCTTGGCTTTCTCTACCTTGTACCTGAGCTCCTAAGGGACCACCCAGACCCGTGCCCCGGCCCCACCAAATTCACTCCTAAACTTGCAGCCTTCTGCACAGGCACTGGATGCAGGCCTCTGGGCTCACAGTGACTTTTGGTACCTGCTCCTCCTGCACTCCTCCCCCACCCCCACTTCATCCAGCTCACTGTCACATAGAGGCATGGAAAAGGGAGCGTGGACCAGAGACGTACCATGTTGCCATGTCCACCTGTGCTTATAGGAATAAACCCGGCTGGAGAGGCATGTCTCCCCCTCTGCTGAGAAGAAGCTGGTTCCTAGAGCAGAGGCATAACCCAGGGGCAGTTCTCAGAGTGAGCAAGAGGGTGGGCTTCAGATTCAGACAGAACAGCCTTGAATCCAGCTCTGTCCCTTGCTGGCTGTGTGGCCTTGTGGTTCCTTAACCTGTCGGATCCTCAGTGCCCTGACTTTGGATTAGTTAGGGTTAATTAAGGTTAGTTAGTCAGAGGTTACTAACGAGAACACTTAAAAGTCCCAGACCAGCATAATCAGGGCTCAGTTAAGGTATACAGTGACCTCCAAGCCAGAATACATGTGACGGCAGAGATCACATCAGATCCAGTGATGACCACCACTTAGCACTGAGTCTGGCATATTGTAAACGCTTCTTAACATTAGGCAGAAAGAAAAGGGAATGAAGGAGAGGGATGGAAAGACACATTCTTGAGGAACCCAAGGGAGGAGCCTTCATCTGCTTCCACCTTAGACCAGAGCCAGCGCCACTCTGGCTACTGTTGGGATGAGTGGCCAGCATCCTGCCTGACCTGTGCCATCTGACCCTTACAGAGGCCCTCAGGCATCTTCAGAGAACCCTTCCAGCACTGTGGAGCCCAGTCTGTAAAGCACTGTGCCTTTAACAATTGGCAGGAATTTTCACAAAATAATCACCTCCAGTGCAGGCAAGGATGCCCCAAAACAGCAGTCATAGTAATTGCTGGGAAGAGTGTAAATGATTTAACTTTGGGGAAAATAACCTCACCGAAGCTATTAGAATTTAAAATGCACATACTTCTTCATTCAGTTGTTCTACTTTTGGAAGCACATAAATACAAGGAGCAGAACATCAGGCTGTCTGTTGAAACACTGGCTAAACCACCTGAATGTCCACCAGTAGTGGGATGGTTGAATTCATGATGATAGATCCTGTCTGTAAAACGCCCATCAAAAGAATGAGTCAGATATGTATGTGTGTGCCTGAAGAAACATTCGTGATGTGTCATTAAACGAAAGAAGCAGATTTCAAAGTAATAGATTTGCATGATTCCATTTTTATGTTTTAAAGTCCTCACATGTGTGCAGTCCCTTCATTTACCATTGAGGAGATTGAGCCCTGGGCACAGGGTGACTTACTCAGGGAGCCTCAGTAGAGGCAGCACTGCATCCCAAGTCTTGCCCATCACGGGGCTGCTCAGGAGGGAGCCTGTCACACAGGGCCCTGGTTGGAGGAGGGGGACCAAGCAGGATGTGGTGGAAGGCCTGGGTGGCTTCTAGGTCTAGGACAGGAGGACCCCAGGGGCTGAGAGTCAGCTGAACAATAGTACCAGAGGGTGTCTGTCCCGACTGACTGGTTTTCTCTGTCGCCTCTGCTTTTTCTCCTGTGGATTAGCCAAGGGACATTGGATACCTTGCTCAGCACCAGCTCTTTGACCAGGTAAGTCTAAAACCTCACTCCTCTGTCCTTCACCCTCTCACCTTCCCCCATTGCCCCATTGGGTGAGGAAGGATGGTTTTCTTAATTGCAGGAAGGGGCAGAGCAGCCTTGTTGACTAGCCACTGGCCCTGCTTCCTGCAGGGAGGCACCCTTTGTGTTGCCCTGTTCTCTCCTCACCAGCAGGACAGCAGGCGAGGCCACCCTGGCCTCAGGACGGGAAGCGGGGCACCGAGAAGGCCATAAGCTCCAGGATGTCCCTGGAGGTAGAGCCAGAATTCCAGGTGTGGCCAGAACTGAGAAGCAAACAGGTCCTGGGGAGCCAGGTGAGGGCAGCAGGCTCTGGACTCACTCAGGAAGAGCGAGCTGTTGCCTTTCTTGACTCAGGAGTTCCCTGGGTGGGCCCAGGTGCCATCCTCACCACATCTCAAGTGTCTGCCTAGGAAGCTATTTCCCCAGTGCCTGGGCCTGTGTGCTCCTGCAAGGATCAGGTTCAATTCATCAGGGTCCCTAGCCCTGGTTGGTCAGATTGAAGACCCTCAGGACAGACTGGTTGAAGCCTGAAACAGGAGGGAACTCAGGCTGAGAAGAGCAGAGCTCAGCGAGGCCGAAGGCAGAGGGGACATTCCCAGGGAGAGGTGCCTCATGAACCAAGGGGCAGCAGGGCACAGGGGAACGGGCCCCATGCTGGGGACATGGACCTTTCGGGGAGGGTTTGCTCAGAAGAGTAGAGCAAAGAGAAGGCCACGGGGGAGGCTGGGGCCTTGAAGGCCAGGCCAAGAACTCAGATTCATCTGGAAGGAAGTGGGGAGCCCCGGGAGATTTGTGCGCAAGAGAGTCCCCAGTAAGAGGTGGTGGTCCAAGAGAATCCAGCAGGAGAGCCAGGGGAGCTCTGAGGGAGGGTGCTGGGGACAGGCAGAAGGACAGCACTGCGCATCGGCCGTGCCAGCCCTTTCTCCCTCAGGAGCCAGCCGCCCAGAAGAGGCCTTCAAGCACGGCCTGGCCACAGGGGCATCGCCAGGAGCTTTTCACAGGGGGGCCAGGCTCACAGAGCAGTGGGGGCCACGGGGACTGCCTGGCCAATGGGAATGGGAAATCAGGGCATGTGGTGATTATAGCAGGAGTGATCTTAGCTCTGTTGGAAAAGGACAGAAAGAAATGCCAGAAAAGATGACTGCAACTGTGGGTGGTGAGGTGGCAAGTGGTTTTTCCTTCTCTTTTCTGCAGTTTCCAGATTATCTATGGTGAGTATGTACAATCATCATCATGAGAAAAAATAGACTTTGTTTTTAAAATGCAAACAAAATGAGAACAAAGAACTGTGGCAGGAATCAGATTGCATTTGGCCTTCTCAGCTGTCTGGCTAGGACACTGAAACAGTTCAAGCAGGGCTCACCCTGGGGAGATACCCGAATGGTTTGGCTTTTTGCCCACCCCTTTCCCTGTCCCCCACCCCTCACTCTGTCCTTGGGACAGTGGAGATGGCTGGGGCCCTAACCGCAGTGCACAGCGTGACTGCCACCACCAGCCCCACCGCCCCCATATGGGCTTGTCCTGGGGAACAGGGATAATGCAGGAGTTGCTCCTTTCCCAGACTGAAGACCAAACACATCCAAGGACAGAAAGAGGCAGCCTGCTGAAGGTGGCCAGGCAGGAAAGATGTCTCTTTACATCCGCTGCTCCAGGAAGGTGTCTCCAGGAGGCAGCGTTTGGTGGTCGGGAAGAGGAGCAGTACCAGCCATGTGGCAGATATGTTGCCCATTTTTTGTTGGGTTGTCTGTCATCTTAGGAGTTCTTTATATATGTTCTGGATACAAGCTAACTAGAGAGAATTTTATCCCAGTTATGTAAGCCCCTTACCTTCTCCAGTTTACCTGCCCTAAGCAGTTTTTTAGTGAGTGCTGAAGTGGCTCCAGTGTTAAGTCTGTTAGGAAGTTTTGTAAGATCTCAGGAATTCGTGGACCTTCTCAGGGGCCCTTTAGGCCTAAGAGTAGAAATAAGACCCCAGGAGACAGCTGCTCACCTCAGTGGGCTCCGGGTCTCTTGTGTTCATTCCCTCCCTTGTCTGCTGGTCCATCCTCAGAGGTGGGGTGGAGAAATCAGCTCAGGCAAGTGGCTAGTGGCTGTAATGCCACAGCTGTGGAAGTGAGGGGTTGTCTGTAGGGAAGATTGATCCATCAGCTTGTCTTTGTGGAGGAAGCAGTTCCCACTGACACTTGTGTGAAGAGGACTCTGCTTGCCAGAGCCTTCATCCCACAGACATTCATGTGTTTTACTGCATACCAGGTGCCAAGACAGGCACCAGCCCTGGTTTCTCTTCCTTCATCCTCCCTGGTTCCATGAGACAGGCTCTCTCATAACCCCCATTTTACAAGTGGGGCACAAGGGTGCAGAGAGGTTAAGTAACTTGCCAGAGGACCTCTGCTCTGTACCCAGGGAGTCCGTGCCAGGTCACCGGAGTTCAGAACCCCAGCACTCCACCATCCCTGCACCCAGAGGTTTCTCCACTTAGTGACAAGGTGAGCAAAGAGAAGATAGAAGGCCCTCGGCAAAGGGGAATGGAGCCTCCCAGCAGGATGGTCGGCAAACCAGCTCCAGGGCATCTGTCTGTGAAGCCGCAGGGCTGTGCAGGCCGGCAGCCTGCCCTTGTGCCTGACTGCCCTCCACAGGGAAGCGGGAGTGGGTGGTCCCTGCCTCATGAGGTTCTGTGGAGACAACAGGAGGCCCATGTAAAGCACATTAAACAGAGTGCCCAGCAAGTCTCAGCAAAAATGGCGATAATGACGAGACATTTTCCTAATAGTTTGGAGTATATCCAAGAAATTGCTGGCTGCCGAACTGTCCCAGTGGAAGTGGGCTCCAGGTACACTGATGAGGAATGGTCCCAGACCCTCATGACCGTCAGTGAGTTCATCAGCAGATACATCGTGAATGAGGTAGGTCATTTTGACTGCTTTCCCTGAATACTCACAAGGGAGAGAACGCATTACATTTGGGCAGATAACCTCCCTGTGCTGCAATGTGTTTACCAGCCTCTGGTCAGTGACCTGGCCAGAGTAAAGAGCGCAGGCTGGTGGGCAGGCAGAACTTGAAGTACTCATTTTAGGTTCCCCTCTCCCCCCACTTTGTTTTCAGTACAATTCAGTAATTTTTTAGTGGATTCAGAAGATTGTGTGGCCATCACTGCTAATTCCAGAACATTCTCATCACCCCAAGAAACCCCGAATTCACTAGAAGCCACTCCCAGTACTCCCCTAGACCCCAGCACCAATCAACCTCTAATCTGCATTCTCTGTCTGTGGATTTGCCAGTTCTGGACATTTCATGTAAATGAAATCATACAATACGTGCCCCTCTATGTCTGGCTTCTTTGACTTAGCACGATGTTTTCAACGTGCATCCATGCTGTGGCACGTTATCAGTACCAAACTCCATTCCTTGTATGGCAAAATGATAGTCTGTGGTGTGGAGATGCCACATTTTTTATCCACCAGTTGATGGCCATTTGAGTTGTATCCACTTCTTCGCTGGTATGAAAAATACTACTGTGGACATTCATATATAAATTTTTGTGTAAATAAGTTTTTATTTCTCTTAGGTATATACTATAGTAAATATAAATATATATATCAGGGATGGAATTGCTGGGTCATATGGTAGCTCTGTGCTGAACCTTTTAAGGACCTGCCAGAATGTTTCCAAAGCAGCCACACTATTTTATCAATTCAGAAACATAACAGTGAGGCAGTGGTGGCTTCCTCTTCCACAGACCTGGCAGAAAATGTAGATTGTCTGCCTTAGAATGCTTGAACCTTTGCTGTGGGCTGAGAACAAGGGAAGCCTGAGCCTGTAACTGGGTACAGTTCCCCTTAAAGCAAGGGGATGTCCCCCCAGCATCTGTGGTCCCCAGCACCTTTCCTAGCCCAGAAACCAGTCCCTTCACAAGGTGTGAGAATTTAGCATCATTTATTCTCACACCGTCCCAAGACCCCACACCCCTAGGCAGCAACAGGCCCCGCTGTACAGTTCTGATTGGATTCAATCACAGATTACTGCAGTCAGAGGGCCAGGTTGGTGACCATGCAGGCAGACGGTGTTTTCCCTTGGCTTTCTCTACCTTGTACCTGAGCTCCTAAGGGACCACCCAGACCCGTGCCCCGGCCCCACCAAATTCACTCCTAAACTTGCAGCCTTCTGCACAGGCACTGGATGCAGGCCTCTGGGCTCACAGTGACTTTTGGTACCTGCTCCTCCTGCACTCCTCCCCCACCCCCACTTCATCCAGCTCACTGTCACATAGAGGCATGGAAAAGGGAGCGTGGACCAGAGACGTACCATGTTGCCATGTCCACCTGTGCTTATAGGAATAAACCCGGCTGGAGAGGCATGTCTCCCCCTCTGCTGAGAAGAAGCTGGTTCCTAGAGCAGAGGCATAACCCAGGGGCAGTTCTCAGAGTGAGCAAGAGGGTGGGCTTCAGATTCAGACAGAACAGCCTTGAATCCAGCTCTGTCCCTTGCTGGCTGTGTGGCCTTGTGGTTCCTTAACCTGTCGGATCCTCAGTGCCCTGACTTTGGATTAGTTAGGGTTAATTAAGGTTAGTTAGTCAGAGGTTACTAACGAGAACACTTAAAAGTCCCAGACCAGCATAATCAGGGCTCAGTTAAGGTATACAGTGACCTCCAAGCCAGAATACATGTGACGGCAGAGATCACATCAGATCCAGTGATGACCACCACTTAGCACTGAGTCTGGCATATTGTAAACGCTTCTTAACATTAGGCAGAAAGAAAAGGGAATGAAGGAGAGGGATGGAAAGACACATTCTTGAGGAACCCAAGGGAGGAGCCTTCATCTGCTTCCACCTTAGACCAGAGCCAGCGCCACTCTGGCTACTGTTGGGATGAGTGGCCAGCATCCTGCCTGACCTGTGCCATCTGACCCTTACAGAGGCCCTCAGGCATCTTCAGAGAACCCTTCCAGCACTGTGGAGCCCAGTCTGTAA